GGACAAGTTGAGCTTCCCTGCGGCCAGGTGGCTCTGCACTGTCCGCCATCGGCCTCTCCCCGCCTTGCCACCGCTGCCCGGCTCGCTGGGGGCAGCCCCGCCGCTTCTCAAGGCGTCCTCTCCGGGTGGCGGCGCCGGCGCCGGCTTCTCCCCTAGCCGGCCTTCCTGCTCCACCGCCAGCCCCGCCGCAGCGGCCACTTTGGCGCCTGACAGGAGGGTACCACTGGAGCCAGGCCAGAGAGGCACCGGGGGTGGCGGTGGGGGAGAGAGGGCGGGCCACAAGGGGGGTGGGGGGAGAGGAGGAAAAACAATGACAGATAAAAGGAAGAAAGAGACAGTGAGAGAGGAGGAGAGAGACAGACGGACAAGAGACAGACAGAGAGAGAGAGAGAAACATCAGCACTGCATAAGGGTTCATAGCGGAGCCTGCAGAGAGGAGAGAAGGGGACCGGGCGGGCTGAGGGTCGGAGAACAACGCACCACGACAACGGAGGGGAGCCCCTCCCACCGCCTGGGGCTGGGGCGGCGGGGGTGGGGGAGGGCAGCCACCTCCAACTCTATCCCACAGGACAACGGAGGGTTAACGACGGAGGAAGAGCGGGCTGTCCAGGCCAGGAGGCCCCCAGGCAGGGAGAGAGAGAAAGCCGTGTTAGTCAGAATTCATCACTACCACCACCACCATCACCGCCACCACCGCCACGAACCACCGACCACCGACCACCAACCACCGAGCAGCCACGGCAGCAGCAGCAGCACACAGCGGGGAGGAAAGAGCGAGCCACGACCGACCGACCGCAGGGAGGGACCAAAACGGGCAACCCCGGCCTGACTGCACAGGGGGCGGGGCCACAGGGCCATCGGGGGCGTGGCTCGAAGGGGGCTCCTGCGTGGCTGGCCCTGGGGGCGGGGCACCGGGAGGGAGGTGGGCAGGCGAGCGGGGCGGGGGGCAGGAGGGGTTGCTCGTCTCCATGGTCAGCCTGCCCATGGGGAGGTGGGTACGGGTGGGAGTGGGGGCGGAGGAGCAGGAGGAGGAAGGGGGCGGGGAGAAGGAGGGCGTGCGCGGAAACTCGGTACACATGATTAAACCAGGTAAAGTCACTCACTTGAGGGACAGTCGTGGGTCGCCATAAGGGGCGTAGGGTGAAATGTTTAGAATAAACTCCTTGGGAGGGTAGGAGCTCCATTTCTGCTGCACTGTGCTCTCATTGTTATTCCAAAAGTCTCTGTCTAGATCGCTGGAGGGGCAGAGAGAGAGGGGAGAAAACAGGGAGATACAAGAAGAAACAAGAACGGAAGTTCTGAGGGGCGGAAAGGGAGAGGGGCCGGGGCCAGGGTCTGCGCCTGCGGGAGGAAGAAAGGTGGTCCCCACCTCCCTGCAGCCTGTGTCCGCGCGCACACGCACACGCACACACACACACCGACACGCACACACACACAAGCTCCAGGCAGCAGAGAAGCCACACAGAAAGGAGGCACGCTGCAGGCTTGAACGGAGCCTCGCACCTCAGAGCTGGGTGGGGAAAGAGAGACGCTGAGAGAAAGGGCCCGGCCTTGGGGTGGGGTGAGGGTGGGGAGGAGAAGGTGCTGGTTTCTGGTTAGAAAGAACTGAAAGGTACATCAGATTATCCTAATTTGCTGGGTTAGACTAGGAAGGCCCCTAGCCCTCCAGGCCTCAATTTTTCCACCTGTCAAACCAGAAAGATCACTGTAACTCCTACGGTCAGCTCTTCCCATGGTGGGTAGAGGCCCTAGTTCTAGAAAGCTCAAGACTGTCCCCTCGCCCATTTTCCTCTCCTGCCCATCTCCTCCTCCCACTGGGTGCAGGTAGCTTTCAGGTGAGACTGGAGGGCCCTCAGCTGAACCAGAGATCTAATTCCAGTCCTCCTCCTTTCTGAGGGTCTGTATCTGCAAGAACCTCAGGCTGACCAGGACTCCTTGGTCCTTTGTTCTGGGGCCTGTGGAGTGTGCCTGCCCTTCTCTAGGTGAGGACCATCAGGCAGGCTCAGTCTCAGGCCCCAGCCTGCTCAGATTCTACATATATGTGCCCTGGGGACACTAAGGACACTGGGGACAGGCCCTCTCTGTGTCCTGCTTCTTTCCAAGGTGGAACTGCTGGGTCTGGAATGAACTTCCAGAACCCATGCTGAAGAAGCAGATATGCTCAGACCCAGGGACTTTTATACAAGGTAGGAGACAGAAGCCTTGGCTGGGAGAAAGAATGCCCTGGAAATTCAGTAAATACCCCAACCCAGAGAAGAGTGGGAGAACATCCCAGCAGCTGGCCAGGCTTCTAGGACTCCAAGGAGCAGGGCCAGTATACAGGCAGAGCCTCCTAAGGGAGCCAGGCCTGGCCAATCAAGAATGCTTTCAGGGGAAGGGCTCTGAGGAGAAGTGTTGGGGTGGACCTGGGGGAGCCCTCAGCCGGTGCCATTGCTAAGATTAAGGTGAGGGCACTGTGGGGAGCTGATGCTCTAGCCCAAAGCATACATGGTCTTGTGGGGGGCTGGTCCCTCCTCCAAGAGTTTGACTTTTCTCTTGGTTTTCAACCTTGGACTTGGAAGCAAAGGAGGGAAGGAAGGGGAGAAGCTGAGCTACCATCAAGACAGGCTCTGAAGAGCCTTGGCCCGAGTCTAGCACTTTCTGGAAAGCACCTTGGAGCGTACGCTGTGTAAAGGCAGGACCTTGAACCAGCTCATATGGCCAGTAGGGACTGGAGTGGGATAGACCAGGCCCCTCAACAGAAGACCGTGTTTCTACAAGAGTCACCCATAGCCCCCACAGCAGATCACACAGGGGCTATGGAAGGGTTCCCCCAAGTCAGCTATAACAGAGAGAGGGAGCAGTTGGAACGTCTCCCTGCCAGATCATCAAAATCCAGGGCCACCGACCCTAGATCCTGGAGAACAAGCTCCAAGTGGTCACTGTTGCCAGGCTAGTTTCCTACCCTACTTCTGAGGAGTTCAGTGCCCCTCAGGTTGTCCCCTGCTAGTATTGGTGGTGCTGTGGGATTAGCACTGGACTGTGAGCCACAAGGTTGGCAGTTCAACCCCACTAGCTGCCCCTCGGAAACCCTGTACAGGGTTGCTATGAGTTGGAACCAACTTGATGGCACTTAACAACAATGACAACAGTACTGGAAAAAGAGGACTTTTAGTCCAGGAGACTCCACGTCCTTTACTGTAGGACTTCTCAGAGCTTTTAATGTGTCTGTGACTATCCTGTCTCCAAGAGGGAGATGCAGTGTGTAGTGTTCCCATGGAACCCTTGATTCACAGGACACCTATTAATGCATTGCAGGCACAAGTTCTCTGAGGAACACAGTTTGGGAAGCACTGTTAGACCTTGTAGGTTCTCAGAATACCTATGAGGTTATCCTTTGCAGGAAGCCCTGAGCCCACAGGGTGATGGGGCAGTGGGTTGGCCCTGCTCCCTGCCCCTGCACTGGCCTGAAACGTTTCTCCTAGTCCCTGGTATGAGGCACAAGCCTGGGAACCCTAGGAGAAGGTTGACACAAACAGTGGGCAGGATGAGGAGTGGGCTGGGATTATGAGGAATGGGAGCAGGGCTGTAGAGCTACAGAGAGGTGGGCTGGATGACCCTTACTTTGTTTCAAAGAGCCCTCTTGGGCACTGGTCCCAGCTTGGCAGAGCCCAATGCCCGATGCCCTCCCACCTGCCCTCACTGGTGAGAACCCTGTCTCCAGGACTCTGGCCCTGGCATTAGAATCCCTGCAGAGACAAACCCCTGTCCTACCCAGGTGCCTGCCAGCCCCCATCCCTGCGCTGCTCCCATGTGGTCCTCTTCAGAGAGCCCGGTTGCCTGTGCTCCGTCCCCGCCTGAGACCTGCCAGCTCCAGGCTTTGAAGATTGGAGAGCACACAGCTGAACCCAACTTCAAAGACTCTCCCAGTCTCTCCCAGAGCACAGCCCCGCACAGCCCTCCACTTACCCACTTCCCACCCCAGACACACCCTTCAGCTCCTGTGAGGGACCAGCCCAAACAGGGACAGAGGCAGAGATGAAAAAAAGAGGGAGCAGAGGAGGGGCCCCCAGGAGCCCCAGAAGCAGAAAGGGGAAGGAGGGGGAAAGATAGACAAAGGGAGGAAGGGCAGCAGAGACCAGGCATGGGAAGGGGCAGAAAGGAAGAGGCTGGGGTAGGGGGTAGAAATGAGGGCCTTGAGTTGAAGGAGGGGAGGGCCGGCAGGCATGATCCTAGGCTGAGATGGAGGATTTTCCATCACTACCTGGTCTGCCAGTCTCCCAGTAAATGCCTGGGCTCAGGAGGGAGGAGGGATGGGGCCACAGCTCCATGGGCACAGAACCCTTGAGAGAGAAGTGGACACAGGAAACCAGGATGCCCTGTGCCCTAGCCAAGTGGGGCTCATCTCCTGGTGTCCCCTAGGGACACCTTGGCAGTGGGCCAGCCAGGTGGTCGATCAGCAGTGGGGAAGTAAGCTGCCTCTCGGGCATAATGGGGAAGATTAGGCAAGTCAGGGGCAGCCCAGACACGAGGTGTGGGCTGGGCTATCTGGAGGAAAGAGCATTTCTTCAGTGCCCCTTCCCCACAGTGGTCCTTACAGCAGAGCCTGCACCCACTGGAGATGGCTTGGAGGTCCAGGGAAGCTGAATTGGTAGCTGGGGACAGCGTGTGTGATGTGGAGGAGTGAGTGGGCAGGGCAGGTGTGGTGAGACCAGCAACAGGGCTGAGGCAGAAGGTAGATTCTGTTGAGAGTGAGAGAGAGATGAGCCAGAAAGAGAAGCTGCAGGCTCCAGAATCTTCTTTGAGGGCCTGGGGATACAGGTAGAAAGGTAGAGAGCTCTTGGGCCAACCTGCGGAATTGTGTACATATGTGTGTTTGGGGGGGGAGGGTAACAGAGAACATGGCATCTGGGTGTGAAGGGACACTGAATGTATGTGACCTAGTGTGTGTGGGGGGTGGAGAAGCTCCTCCCATCTGGACTGCCTGCCTGCCCCCCCTCCACTCACAGCCTGGCACCTACTTGATTGCCTTCTTCTCGCTGCGCCCACGCCCCGAGTCTGGCGTGCCCACCGTCTCCAAGGAATTCTTGTAGCGTTTGCCCTGTGGAGATAAAACAGAGTCAGTCTTGGGCCAGAGTGGGCCCTCCTCACTTCCCAGAATGGGGCCTTGGAGGGAAGAAAAGTAGAATGCTAGGAGCCCACTAGGCAACAAGGCCCCTCTGGGCTCATGTGTGAGGAGGTCACCACTATGGGGTACCAGCTGCATCAGTCAGTACCTGTTCTCTGTCAGGTAGCTCCAGGGCCCCTGCAGATTCAAGGATGCATCCCGCCTCCTCGACCTGCACCTCATCTCTGTCCCCCAGGGATGGGCCCCTCCTGCCTGCCTGTCCCTGGGGCTCTGGCCCAGCTCCCAGAAGCACAGCTCCCTCTGACAGACGGCTCTCAGGCGCCTGGCCACGTCACACTGTCCACGTCACCACCCCCAGATGGTGGGGGTGGCATCCTGCAGGGCAAAGTTGGCATGGGCCAGTGACGTGAGCAGTGGGGGCGGGAGGGGGCCCTATGCCCGTCACTGTCTGAGTCTCTGGGTCCCTGTGTCCTGGGGCTGTGAGGTAGGATTAGACCTAGCCACTCTCCCCGTTAGGAAAGCAGCGTTGGGAAGAGAGGACAGGGTGTTCTGGGCCCCTCAGCAGCCCCCCAGAGTATCTCACCCCAGCATGAGAAGGGGCAGGGGCTAGGCAGGCCAGGGCAGGGGCACTCCAGGTCCCTGGTAGTAGAAGGGACAGAGGAGGGGACACGGCTGCAGTGGTAACTGGGCCTGCTGCCGGCAGGAAGGTGAGCACCATTCACCTTCTTGGTTTGGGTTGCTAAATTTAGCTCCTGCAGACGGAGCCTGGCACCATTAACATTCCTGGCCTCCATCAAGTGTCCTCACACGCACCCATGGGCTACCGGCCTGGGCCAGACCCAGGGCTGATGTGGGCAGTGGGGGGATGGGGCTACCCTCCCTCTGACAACTCATTTGCCCACCTGGCATTGGCCTGACCTGGCCCAGTGGAGTAGGGACTCTCTTTCGCACACATGAACGTCCCCAGCATCCTGCCATATACAGCAACACTACAGCCGTAACATTCAGTTTCCCATCCTCCCTAAAGCACCCTCAAAGCCTCCCTTCCCCAATATGCCTGTCAGCTGCAGCCCCTTCCTCGCTAGCCTGGAGCAAAGCAGGGCGCTCCCCTGAAAGGTATATGTGAGTGGGGGAAGGTCCTCTGGGGCCCTTAACCTCAGGGATACTTGGGTCCTGGTCCCATCTGCTAATGTTCTCCATATCCCTCTGACGAAGTCCCTTCCCCTCCCTGGTCTTCGTTCCTTTCTAAATGATACAATGTTGCCCAATGTCTGAGCCACGAGTTCCTCATCTGCTAAGGCTCTCATGGCGAGACTCTGTATCACTTCTTCCAACTCCCATCCCTGAAGCGGCACCCCACCAAGGCCAGCCCTGCATGGTCTCCTGGGACTTCGTGTGAAGTCTGGCACCTGAGAGTTTCCAGAAGAGTTATCCATTGGAGGGTGCCCTTCTATTGCTCCCCATACCTGGGGTCTGAGGGCCAGTGTAGCCCCTGAGCCAGAATTTTAAGAGTTAAAATAAAAAAGATGAATCCTAGCTCTCTGTCTCTCTCTAACTACTCCCATCATTTCTCAAGTTCAAAACCAAAAAGAAATTCCCAGAGGGAAGACCACAGGCTAGAGCCTTTCCACAGTGGCCAGAAGCAATGTATTGGCAGAAATTGTAGGTAGGAGACCAGCCCCATTCCTCTTCAGATCTGCTGAGCACCCCCTTACTCTTACCCCTGGCTTCCTCTCTCTTCTTAGGTTTGGCAGAACAACTCACCCTCTTCTAAAGTCCTTCAGTTGCCCCTCCCCCAAGCCCACATGAAGTGGGGCTGACCACTCGGGCTCACCCGGGGCAGTCTGAACACTTCTGCCTGCTTCCCTTCCTTCCAAAGCTCAGAGAACCTTCCTCTTCATGCTGCAAATATCTGCAGTGGGAGCTAGGGTACTATGGGGGACAGGAATCAGGCCAAGACTTGATTTGGGGGCTAGGGGAATGGGGCAACAATAGGAAATCCAGGCTGGTTTCAAAGGAGCTGAACACCTCCAGCCTGCCCATCAGGGAAGGCTGATCCGGAAAAAGCCAGCTGCAGATTAAGGAAGTTATTAATGTTTGGAAATGGGATCCGAGCTGTCAGGATATCACGTCACTGTTGCTGAGGGGACAGGCAGGCAAGGTGAGCTCAGTAACTGTATGGGGGGCACTTGAAAACCCTCCCATGGAGCAAGGAGATAAAGCTCCTTGGCCTCTGAGACCCTTTGGGGATAGGGAAGGCAGGGGGTAGGGGCTGGGCAAAGTAACCCAGGGGAGCAAATCAAGAGGCCCCTGGAATGGACCCTGGCTGGGGAGGGGGTGGGATGGGTTTGCCCCTCTCAACCCCCACCTGCTGTCCATGATTCCTGTGGGGTTTAGGGGTACTGTGCCTCCAGCCCCACTTCCAACGTACCTTGGCTCCTCTCAATACACACACACACACACACACACACAGAGACACACACACACGGCAGGCACAGCCTTCAGCATACATGCTGGGGAGGCCAGAACAGGGGCAGACTTCTTTATCAGCTCATAGGGCATCTGATTAGATGATCCACAGCCTCACCTCCACCAGTGAGCACGCGCGCGCGCGCGCGCGCACACACACACACACACACACACACACACACTGCACCATACACTCAAAGTCAACACACTCACACACACAAAGGCTACCAGCAGCAATGCCTGCTGGGACAACCTTCTTCCCTGCCTTCAGGTACAGCGGGCCAGCCTCAAGGGGCCTGCAACAAGCTGCACAGGGCTGCAGTGCGCTCTCCGACACGCCCACTGCCTTTGAGGACGTGCACACACGAAGGCACGAAGGCACGTGGCCAAGCCCCCTCCACCACCTCCCCTGAAATTCCGACCTAGCTGCAGACACACGGGATCCAGGAACAATGCAGGCAGCCAGCGGGGCTCCACACATGCCGGGGAGCAGGGAGCCGGTCATCCACACCCGGTCACGCTCCCACGTGGGCCGAGTTGGCCTTCTCTGAGGCCCCTCCCTGGCAATAGAAGGAGCCTGAAGCCGGACACCCAGGGCGGAGAGTCCCGCTCTCGTTTCTGAGTTTGCCTTTCCTTATGAAGACTCGCAGGGCATGGTGCTCTTGGGTCTGCCCCTTGGCGTCCCTCGCGAGACCCCAATGCCCTCGGATAGGGTCATGCATTGCCCCATCTCTTCCTCCCTAGGAGTGGGGCATGAAGCCCCGGCCACAGTCCTCTCTGGTTCTTAGGGCCTCTCTGTGACAGGATAGGTAGCACCCTGCCCCCTCCCCCCATTCCAAATTCAGGGGTGCAAGGTGCCTTTGGGCTTCACCCGTAGGCACCGCGCCTCCAGCTCCCAAAGTCCCCAGAGCACGTCTGGGTTGGGGCAGGAGGGCGGGGCTCGCAGAGTCCCCGAGGACTTTAGCCCATTCCTCCTCCCTGCCTCCTTCGGGTGATGAATGCCCCTCCTGACGGTCTCGTTACTTATTGATGGTCTAATCCTGCTCGTTAATTCCCCAGCCCTCGTTAAAAATGAAAAGAAGCCGTTTGTGCTTGTACAAACCCCAAGACCCAGGATGAATGTGCGGGCGGCGGGGGTGGGGCGGGCGGCGGCGCCTCCTCATTGGCTGGAGACAAGGCTCGGCCACGCCCGGTCTCTCTCCCTTCCCCGCCTCAGGGAGGGGGACTCGGGAGCCGAGGTTGGGGGCCTCCATTCTCAGTCAGCGCGTGTGTGCCTGCGGCTCTTTCTGTGCGAGGTGGGGCAGGTGGGCAGCTGCGTACATGCGAACGCCGGTAAGACCTGCGTCTGCCCAGTCTGTGTCCCAATGAACATGCGGACCCAGGGGGCCAACCCTGAGGCAAATGAAGCGTCTCCCGGTGGCATGAATCTCTAAGAAAGAGTGCCCGACTTGGCGGGCAGGTGGGTCACCTGTGTGTGTGTGTGTGCGCGCGCGCTAGGGAACATTCTCAAGCCTGTGGATGGAGGGAGGGGGCAGAGCGCAGGGCCCCAGGGAGCCTCACCAGTTTACGTTGACACCAGTGACAGAGGCCGCAGAGGACGATGGTGACGCTAAGGCTGACGGTGATGATGGCAGAGACCAGCAGGACATCACGGGTGGGTGCCCCTAGGGAGGACAGGCACAGGTCAGACCCTCTCATTGGTCACTCTCCCTCAGTCCAGAGCCACCTTAAGGAGCCCCCCTTTCCTCCATCTGGCCCAGCACTTGGGGTCACTCAAAGAGCAACAGGGTAGAGGACAAAGCATCGCCTGGCAGCTGGAGTCCCAGGTCCTTGCCTTGTTGGGTGACCTTGGGAAGTCCCTTTCCTTTGGGGGACCTGCACTGGTTGATATCTCTTTCTCTAGGTTCCTTCCTACACAGACCCTGTATAAGTCCATGGGGTCCACACCATTCCCCCAACTTGACACCGTAAAAATGAGTGGCCAAATGAGTCCTTCAGCCCAGCAAAAACCTCCCTGGCCCGTCCAGCCCCTCCAAAGGAGCCTTTTCCTCTCCAGCTCAGCTTTTCTTGGCCTGGAAGCCCACCAACTGGCCTTGGTACCCCTGCCCTCCCAACCGTCCTAGCTACCAGGGATGGCCCTGGCAGCTACCATTCCATAAGTTTCTGGATCAGACACCTCCATGCCCCTCTCAAGATGAGCCCTACTCTGGAAGAAAAGCCCCATTCTCTGTCCAAATCCCAGCTGTGTGGCTTCAGAAGAGTACCATTATCACTCGGCTTTCTCCCCTGTAAAGTGGGGCTACACCTCCCCTCTGCTTTTCTCACAGGTGGTTGTAAACATTAGGCCAAACTAAATGTGAAGGCAGCCACAGAATTATCACGTGGGGGAGTGAGCATCGTGTAGCGCACACGAGCACTGTAAATATGTGTGCATTGGGATGCGGCCGAAAGTCAAGGAGACGCTGTTTATTTACAGACGAGCCTGTGTGGGCTTTTCGGTTCCGGTGGTGACAGTAATTAAGAACTGACGATAGCTTCTGATCCTGGTTCCTGCGGTTCTCCCTTCTGCCTTTCTCCTGGCCTCTCTAGCTTTGTCAGGAGGCCTTATCCCCCTACCATCCATGTGCTGGTGCCCCACTCAGTCAGACCCCTTCCCTCTCTTCCCTAGAACACTGCTTAGGGCCCACTTTTCCCTTCCTGACTTCCTGAGCCAATCTCACCCAGCCCCACGTATCTACCTCACCTGCACAGGTTCTGAAGCCTCAGCTTCCAGGGAGCCCATACCTAATCCGCTGTTAATCTCGGGACCCACAGCAGCTATGAGCTTCAACCTAGACTAAAGCCAACTGTGTCCGCTCACCACCACCGCCCTGGAGCACAGCTCTGCTAAGCTGAATGGCTATGTGCCAGAGCTCTCGGCCACACCATAGGACTGGATCATTCATTGCCTGCATCCCAGGGGAGTGGAAGCAGGGCTCAATGACAGTGGTGACACTTGGGCAGAGCCCCAAGGCACAGGCCTGGGGTGAACAGATGGGTAAAATGAGCCTCGCTGGCATGGTGCCTGCACTTTTTCCAAGGTCCCGCTGAAGTTGCCCTGCCCTATGGGGGTGCTGTGTGGGCTGGAGAAGCAAGCATCCCACATTATTCGTTGAAATCACTTTAAAAATAAAGCAAACGTATTCTTGTGCTGAGCTCTCTTTATCTGCTATCTATGAAGAATCTACTATGAGGGGGGAGGGGAGGGAAGGCCTTGCCGCAAGGGACTGTCACTTCATCAGGAAAGACCAGCATGAATTCAGCTAATAATCTGCTAGCATGTCAGAGGCCCCGGAACTTGGGAATGGCAGAACCCCTATTCTGGGACTCCAGACTCCAAAAGACCCATGTGTGAGTTCAAGCTTTGCCCCTTAACCGTTATGTGTCGTGTTGGACAAGTGTCTTTGTTTTCTCCTGAATAAAGTGGCTAGATGAACGATACCTGCCTCCCCGTGTTGTGCTAATGCTGCTGTTAGTGTTGGATGTATCACAGGTGGTAACAAATGGCCATGAGAGCACTAGTGAAGAAGTGTCTGGGGCTAGAGGAGCTCTCTGGAAGGGTCTTCCTGAGGAGGTGGCGTTCCCCCGTGGCTCTGGGAGTAGGTGAGGCAGAAAGAATAGCAGAAACCAAGGAAGCAAGAAAAAAGCGAGAAGAGTTGGACTTGAGGGTATGGGAATTAATAGGACTGGGGCCTGATGGGGAGGGGGTGTATTTGTCAGGATGAGGAGCTTGTTTTGTGCTATAGGCCATGGGAGCCAAGGAAGGCTTTTGAGCAGAGTAGGGACAAGATCAGGATAAGCACTGGACTGGGTACCACAAGGTAGGTGGTTCAAGTCCACCAGCTACTCCGCAGGAGAAAAGAGGACCCTTCCTGCTCCCTCAGAGATTTATAGCCTCAGAAAGCCTCACTGTAAGTTGAAATCAACTCAGTAGCATTAACAACAACAGGGCTTGTTAATAAGCAGCTGTGGTAGGGGACCCTCTTTGTACATTATGTCCCACCCTCCACATAGTTCTGATTCAAAGGACTCTTTGTATGAGGTTTCTAAAAGCAGCTGGTGAGTTTGAACTGTCAACCTTTTAGTTAACAGTTCAGAGCTTACCCTACAGCACCACACCAGGACTCCACATACCTCTTGTTGTTGTTGTTATGTGCCATGGAGTCGGTTCCAACTCATAGCGACCCTGTACAGGGTTTCCGAGGCTGCAAATCTTTACGAGAGCAGAAAGCCTCATCTTTCTCCCACAGAACAGCTGGTAGTTTTGAACCGCTGATCCTGAGGTTAGTAGCCCGATTCATAACCACTACACTACCAGAGCTCCTTACATACCTATTGGCCATGGGGAAATTCTTCAAGGGGCCACCTCCCTGGAGCGCTACCCACTCTCTTTGAGAGACAAGGGATGGTGGTGGTTGTGTGCCATCAAGGTGGTTCTAACTCATAGCAACCCTGTGTAGGGTTTCCGACGCTATAAATCTTTTTGGGACCATAAAGCCTCATCTTTCTCCCTCAGAGTGATTGGTAGATTTGAACTACTGACCTTTCAGTAAGCAGCCTAGCTCAGAATCCACTCTGCTACGGAGTCAGACAAGGTCCCTATCCCCTAAACCTGCTTCTCAAATCCTGTTGTAATCGGGAGTCCTAAGGGACAGAAAGTTGTCTTGTCAAGCCTAAAGCCAGAGGGCCAACAGAAGTATCCCCAGAAAGCAGAGGGGAGCTCCATCTTAAGGACACTGCAGAATGCCACTGGCTTGGTGTCTATGAGAACTAAGTTCTGTGTGACCATGGGCAAGGAATGTGACCTCTTGGGACCTCAGTGTATTCATCAGTGGAAATGCTGGCCCTTCCTGGCTCTGATGTGCAGTAAAAGCATGATCCTCACAACAACCTTCAGAGGTAGGCATGTGACTGTTCTCCATTGTAGAGATGGGGAAATGGAGGCACAGAAGGGCCATTCCACCAGAAAGTGATAGAGCCATGGTTAGTGTCCAGGTAGCCTGTCTCAGAGTGGTGCCATGATACCACACCCAGCTGGTGGTTTTCAGAGTGTGCTCTTTGGAACCTTTGGGGTTCCCAGGAATCTCTCTCAGGGGTTTGGAAGTGAGTGCTGAACAGCTAAGCATGTGGCTTCCCTGAGTCCTCTTCAGCTGCAGTGGCATCATTCTCTGTTTCAAATCTTAGCTTTTTGTAGAACATTCCACTTGGAGAAAGGGATGCATTGCTAAGAAAAGTTTGAACCTTTCCCCTTGGACTCGGGAACTCTGGTAGTGCTGTAGGATAAGCACTGGACTGCTAACTGCAGTGTCAGCAACTCAAATCCTGTTTTCTGCTCCCATGAAGATGTACAGCCTTGGAAAACCTATACAGAGTCAACTCAATGGCAGGGTGTTTTCCTCTTGGACTCAGTAATCTTAGGGTCCCCCACAGCCTGAGTGGATAAGGTCATCGTCTGCAGCTGATTTACCTCCCCACTAGATATCCTCAGCCCCCTCAGTGTCTCTCGGCTCAGGACCAGGGTGCAACAAATGCTTGCCATTGCAAATCACATTGATGCTGTGAATAAAGGTGAGATGATGTCCTCAGCCAGGATGCCCGTGTGTATTGCAACCAACGGGCACAAGTGTGCGCTTATCTGCCAGCCAGAGTGATGCCACTCCCAGATCACAGAGTCACTGTGTCTCTGGTGGGAGGGACGTCAGAGTCATGAACCAAGTCCACTGATGTATAAACTCCTTGGGCAGCTCTGCTGGTGACAAGAAGCTCCCTCTTCAGGAGGTGGGCCCCATGGACAGGCGTTAGAAAGGGTTGCCATGCCCCCACCACCCCTAGAATGCTCCCTTCGTGATCCTAAGCCTACTCTCCAGAACTGCCAGGAACAAGCTGGTTTCCTCTGCCACACGACAGGCCACAAAATCCTTGCTGACAGCTTTCATGTCCCCTTCAAGTCTTCTCCAGGCAAAGCTGTCCCAGCCCTTGCAAACTTCCTCAGATGACATACATGGTTTCAAGTCTCCTTATCGTCAGCATATTAACATTTTACGGTGGAAATATCATCACGCAAGTCAGCCTTTTGACAGGGTTGAGTTCTGTGACCTCTTTTTGGGCAGAGCACAAACAAAGGCGGGGAGCTGACACTGGAGGACCCAGGAAGCAGGTGGGCCAGGAGCTCTGCCCAGATCTGCAGTAGGCATGTTGTTGTTGGTAAGTGCCATCGAGTAGGTTCTGACTCATAGCGACCCTGTGTAGGCCTTCCAAGGAGCAGCTGCTGGTGGGTTTGAATTGCCAATCTTGTGGTTCATAGTCAAGTGCTGATCCTACAGTGCCACACCTGGAGCCAGCACACTGTTACTATTGTTAAGTTGGTTCCAGCTCATAGGTACTCTGTATAGGGTTTCCAAGGCTATAAATTTTTGCAGGAGCAGAAAGCCTTGTCTTTATTCCCATGGAGTAGCTGGTGGGCTCGAGCCACCAACCTTGTAGTTTTCAGCCCAGTGCTTATTATACAGAGCCATAATGGGGACCCAATTGAGTGTTGTGTGCTTTGTGCTATTCTGGGAGCTGATCATGCTGATCATGTCACCCATCCTAGCGAGAGCTCAGGGCAAAGCCAGGTATGTCTGAA